GGGGGGAGGGGGGGGGGGGGGGGGGGGCAAGCAGAGAGACAAGGGTGATAAAAAACTCAAGCAGCCTTGCAAGTCTGGAGAAGACAGACCTCCCCTCACCAGGACTAGGACGGCTAGCCAGCCAGGCAGATGGTGACCCCGCTGGCCCATGTCATGGGCCTTGATCTCCAGACTCCACTCCCTGTGGCCACAGCTCTCCTGTAGACCCTCGGGCCAGCCAGGCTGGCCCTCAGCTCCCAGCAGCTGTGCTGGCCTCCAGACCCTTGCTGGCTCAGCCTGCCTGACTTTCCAGGTCCTACCTGCCCTTCAAGGTCCCACCTGTCCACAAAGCCCCTCTGCCCAGGCCAGCTACCTGTCATCCCCACTGTCATGACCTGGGGCATTTATCACCTGGCCCACGCAGCACATCCTCATGGAGTTCCTGCAGCACGAGGGCAGATCGACGGGGGTGACGCTTCTGAAGCCCTTCCGGGCCGCTGTCCAGGCCTCCCCACTTCACCAGGGTCCCTGACCCCGGCCTCTCCCCAACTTTCACCCCAGCCCCTCTGGGCTGGGATCAGAGAAGTGCTCAGAAGAAACCTGGGGTCACCCTTGGAAAGTTCTGGAAACGGAGTTCTTTTACACTCTGTACTCACATAAGTATCTTCAACCTTCTATTCTCATCTTCTGTTACCCTGGGGCTTTTTAAGATAAAAGTGACTATCTGCCTCAGTTTCTTTAAAAACAGTCATTTAGTGGACTTTATGATGGCCAGCAGACCCTAGAAAATGACCAAAGCCTAATAGCCATGATTTTAAAATTACCACAAAAATTAACTTTGCACAAATTAAGCAAACAGAATGTAAATTATGGGAAGGGCTCTTCTGGCTTAGAAACAAATGCTAAACTATTTCTAAGAATTATTAAAGAAAATGAAGACTTTCCTAATAAAGCAAAGAAGACAATCTATCGCCTTATTTCCGCTACTCAAGTCAGTGATGGTAGAACGTGTCACTGCTGCTCACTGGTGGCCTCCTCACTGACTCACAGCACTGACTCTGGCACCCTGTGACGGCTGACAGCTTGCACCACACAGTCACATCCACCAGTGCTCTGCTCCACTTTCGAGCTGGTGGGCCCCACCTGGGCACCTGGCTACAGGTGGCCTCTCAGTGCCTGGCTGCGGGCCCACCGCCCAGCCCACCTCTGCCCCGACTCCCTGCCCCAGGCACTCCCGACCACCTCCACGGCCCAGCTGGCAGCCAGAGACTCTCTCCCCCTTGGAAACAGTCCCAGACATCTCTCAAAGAGCCCTTTACATTCCAAGCCTTTCAGACAAATCAAATGTAGCCAACACTCTACACAGCAGAACTAACAGCAGGTCTGGGGCTGCTGTCCTTAGAAAGGCCTGCTTGCGAGGAAGGCTGCAGGCTCTCCAGAAACCTGGATTTTGGGAGGGTTCCCACCCTGCCCTAAATGATGAGAGTGATGCACAACGCCTCCACTGTGTGCACATGTGAGGTGGGTTAGGCCGAACCCTGCTCTCCTTCTGGGAGTCTGGAATCCTAGTACGTGCTATGCAGAGGTGCCTGCGTGACCAGCTCCCACTGAGAACCCTGGGCACTGAGCCTCTAGTGAGCTCCCCTGGAAGACCACAGCTCACACATGCTGTCACACTTCCATGCATTCCATGTGACTGTACTTGGAGAGAACTTGGGGGCCTGACTCTGGCTCCCCTAGACTGTGCCCCAAGCGCCTTTTCTCTCAGCTGGTTTTGCTTTGCGTCCCCTCACTGTAACAGACCTTAGCCATGAGTACAACACTGTGTATGCTGGGTCCTGTGAGTCCTCCTAGTGAACCCCTGAACTGGATGGTCTTGGGAACCCCAATGCAGGGTCCCTGTGACACTTCCTGACAAGGCACCAGCAATGTGAGGGCTCAGGGCGTGCCCCTCCTGGCCCTCTTTCTTCTGAGCACTTCTCCACTGAATGGACAACATGTAACAGGCTCCCAGCCCAGAGGGTTGAAGGTGAAGGTCAGGGAGGGTTGGGTTAGGGGCATGGCAGGGAGGCCTCACGGCCCAGTCTTGCTCTAGCTCTGCTATCTCATCTGCTACTTCATCCAGCCGGTCACTCACCCATCCCTCCCCCTGCACCACGGCCCCTCCTGCCTTGCTCCGTCCTCATATCCTCTCTGCTCCTCCCCACTGCACCCTCTTCTTTCTCTCCCTTCTAGAGTCCTACCCACCAGCCAAGGCTTGGGAACCACAGGGACTGGAAGAGAAGGAAGAGACAGTGAGTCCCCATCTGTGGGCTGCCAACCCCCAGGAGGTTCAGACTTGTCACAACAGACCCAGGATCAGAATGGGCACACATACTGCCTATGGACTGCATGTTTAAACGTGTATAGACGCTGCTGTGATGAACCACACACATGTCCTTTAAAGGTAATATGGAGGCTATTTTAAAATACAGTGCATGACAAAACCACAACCTAATACACTAAGTATACAACTACGTGGGGCTCGCGAAAGTTTTTAACCTTAAGAAGGGGGGTCACGGACTCAAAAAGGTGGGAACTCCCCATTTATTGTCCAACTCTCACCGTTATCGCCAAGGAAAAGCAGAGAGCAGTAGGAAAGGATCAACATGTTACAATTACTTCACTGTCTTTTATTTTAGCCACACAACAAATATTTATTAAACTAATACACTGCGACAAAATAATGTGCCTTCAGAACCTGGAAGGAAACTAGTCAAACCAACCCCTGTGGAAATGATCAGCCACCTGAAAGAATGACCAGAGTGACAGCACAGAAACGTACAACAGAGCCCGCGGTGTCCAGTTGACCTATCGGGGTGGCTAGAGGGAGCCTGAAAAGCCAGAACGCGGTCAACAGCACCACATCCTGCCCAAAGAGACAGTGCCCACAGATGGCACTGTTGAAACCAAGTCCAGAGAGAGCAAGAATTCATGTGGGTGTCCCCAGCCTTGACTGGGCAATATGAGTGCTTGGCCGTGCATTGCAGGCTCTCCCTTAACTGAGACAGACGCTTCCGGTCATCTTAGCTCCACAATGCCAGCTGTCGAGCTCATCCAAGCAACCTTGCTCACCGGGCAAGTTTCCG